GTGGTATTTATTTATTTATGAGACGGAGTTTTACTCTGTCACCCAGGCTGCAATGCAATGGTGTGATCTCCACACCCAGCTAATTCTTATATTTTCAGTACAGACGGGGTTTCACCACGTTGGCCAGGCTGGTCTCAAACTCCTGACCTCAGGTGATCCGCCTGCCTTGGCCCCCCAAAATGCTGGAATTAGAGTTGTGAGCCACAGCACCCAGCCAATAAGGGAACGTCTGAATTTTGGATTCAGACCGCTTGAATTAAAAGCTCTTCATTCAGGTAAATGAATCCCCAAACGTCTCATCCAGTGACCAGCATAGGGACTAACCTGCAACCTTAGTATTATTGGCACCATGCTCTAACCAACGGAGCTAACAGGCCACATGTGACATTTAAATAGATGCATATAATGTGAAATGATTAAATCAGGGTTTTAGGACATCTATCACCTCAAACATTTATCATTTCTTTGTGCTAGGCACATTTCAAATCTTCTAGCTATTTTGAAATATACAGTAAATTACTGTTAACTGTAGTCATCCTACTGTACTAGCATACACTAGAACTTATTCTATTTTTATACCCATTAACCTCTCATCATCCCCCTTTCCCCCACCCTTCCCAGCTTCTGGGAATCACCATTCCTTTCTCTATCTCCGTGAGATCAACTCTTAGTTTCCCACATATTAGAGAGATCATGTGGTATTTGTCTTTTATGTCTGACTTATTTCACTTCATATGTCTCCCGGGTCCATCCATGTTGTTGCAAATGACAGGATTTCATCCTTTTTTATGGCTGAATAATAGTCCATCATGCATATGTACCACATTTTCTTTATGCATTCATTTGCTGATAGGCACTGGGGCTGATATTTTGGCTGTGGTGGCGTGTGCTCCAATAAACATACAAGTGCAGGCACCTCCTTGATACGCTGATTCCTTTTGAACATGTACCTAGCAGTGGGCTTGCTGGATCAAAGGTAGTTCTGATTTGTAGTTTTCTGAGGAACCTTCACATAGTTTCCCATGGCTATAACTCATTCACATTCCCATCAACAGTGTACATCCTTTTTCTCTGTAGCCTTACCAGGATTTGTTATTTTTTGTCTTTTTGACAACAGCCATTGTAACTGGGGTGCAATATCTCATCGTGGTTTTGCTTTGCATTTCCCTGATGATTAGTGATGCTGAGCATTTTACATACACCTGCTGGTCATTTATTTGTCTTCTTCAGGCTTTTTGATTGCTTAGCCTTTGTAGTGCGATTGCTTTTTGAGCACTGTCTTAATATAGGTATAGTTTTAAATTATACGTACACACTACTATGATTAGCTAATATCTCAAGGTTTATTATTCACCAGGGTGAGTTCACTATTAAAAACAGAGGATTGGCCAGGAATGGTGGCTCACACCTATAATCCTAGCACTTTGGGAGGCCGAAGTGGGAGGACTGCTTGAGTCCAGGAGTTCGAGACCAGCCTAGGCAACATGGTGAAACCCTGTCTCTACAAACAGAACAAAAGCGGACTGGCAGGTGCAGTGGCTCATGCCTGTCATCC